GCAACACTTGTCTTCGGAGTTGTGGGCATGGCCAGGACTCTGCCTCCCCAGGAAGAATGACATGCTCCGAGGATGTGGGACAAACTCGCATGGCTGCGCCTGTACCCGCTGCCTGGAAACGGGCATCTTGGGCGGATAATTGGCTAGTCCAATTTCCAGCAGGCTTTGCAGCATGTTTGGAAGAAATGGAAGGAAGTTAGCCACCAGCATTTCCCACCAGGCCTCCAGCTTCTCTGGGAGCTCACATTTCTGAGCGAGCAAAAGACAGAGAGAACTGACCCTCCCATTTCTCCTTCTACCTTCATCTCTAGCCGACCAGCATTGGTGTGGACTCATCCATGACATCCTATGAGCAGTTTATCTCCAGCATCCCTGACAACACCCTGCCACCCCCATTTCCTTGCCCCCTGGCACCTAGGCACCTGCCCCACTCCCACCCCTTCCCCATATTTATATCTAGTCTGCAGCACAGTAGAGGTTCAGAGCACCAGCTCTGGACTTCTATATCGAGGGTTTTAAATCCCAATTCTGCCACGTACACACTGTACAGACTTGGGTAGATCACTGAAGTACTTCTCTGTGCTTCGGTTTCCTCACCTGTATGTGGGGATTAATAATAGTGTCTATCTGTGATGGGCTTAACTGAGTCCCCCAAATTCCTATGATGAAGCCTAACCCTAGCACCTCAAAATATGACTCTATTTGGGGAGAGGGCTTGTACAAGGTGATTAAGTTAAATGAGGCCATTAGGATGGGACTTTAATATGACTGGTGTTCTTACAAGAAGCGGAAGGGACACCAAGGGTTAGGGTACAGAGGAAAGACTGCGAGGACACAGCAAGAAGGCAGCCATCTACAAGCCAAAAGGAGAGACCTTGAAAGAAACCAACCCTGTCAGCACCTTAATCTTGCACTTCTGGCTTCCAGAACTGTGAGGCAATAAAACTCTTGTTTAAGCCACTCTGTGTGTGATACTTTGTTTTGGTAGCCCGAGCAAACCCTTACATTGCCTCATATAATTGTTGCAGGAGCTGGGGTTGGTGGCTCATCCCTGTAATTCCAGCTACTCAGGTGGCTGAGGTGGAAGGAGTGCTTGAGCCCAGTTCAAGACCAGCCTGGGCAACATAGGGAGAAACTGTCTCTACAAAACAATTTTTTAAATTAGCTGGGTGTAGTGATGCACACCTGCAATCCCAGCTACTTAGGAGGCAGAGGTGGAAGGATTGTTGAGCTCAGGGGTTTGAGGCTGCAGTGAGCTATGATAGCACCACTGTACTCCAGCCTAGGTGATAGATGAGACCCGTCTCTGAAATAATAATAATAATAGTAATAATAAACTGTTGCAGGGATCCAACTAGATGAACCATCTAAATTGCTGGTAAAGTACCTGGCCCCTAAGTGTTTCCTATTAGTATAGCAGCTTCTCATTACACAGCCATTTACTTTCTATACCACTCATTTGGTAAGTGCCAAAGCTTAGAAAGCATTAAGTCTTTCTAAGAATCAAGTAACTTCTTTTTTTTTTTTTTTTTTTTTTTTTTTTGAGACGGAGTCTCGCTGTGTCACCAGGCTGGAGTGCAGGCCGATCTTGGCTCACTGCAAGCTCCGCCTCCGGTTTACGCCATTCTCCTGCCTCAGCTCCGAGTAGCTGGGCTCAGGCCCGCCACCGGAGGCTAGGTAGTAGAATGGGTAAACCCGGGAGGCAGAGCTTGCAGTGAGCTGAGATCCGCCACTGCACTCCAGCCTGGGTGACAGAGCGAGACCCTGTCTCAAAAAAAAAAAAAAAAAAAAAAAAAAAAAGAATCAAGTAACTTCTATGAGGGTCCAGGTTTTAGATTTCTTGCCTCCACCCCCAATCTACCCAAGTGACTATAAGAGGTGGGGCCGGGCGCGGTGGTTCACGACTGCAATCCCAGCTCTTTGGGAGGCCGAGGTGGGCGGATCACAAGGTCAGGAGATTGAGACTATTCTGGCTAACACGGTGAAACCCCATCTCTACTAAAAATACAAAAAATTAGCCAGGCGTGGTGGCGGGCACCTGTAGTCCCAGCCACTCGAGAGGCTGAAGCAGGAGAATGGCGTGAACCTGGAAGGCAGAGCTTGCAGTGAGCTGAGATGGCGCCACTGAACTCCAGTCTGGGGGACAGAGCGAGACTCCATCTCAAAAAAAAAAAAAAGGTGCTCAAAAAATATTTGTAGATGTAATGTTCTTCCAATAAATATTTAGGAACTAAGGCAGTAAACAAAAGAGACCCAGGGAGTCTGGGTCTGGAATTACAGTCTCTCTACCTTCAGGGATTTTAGAATTTAGTAGGGAAGGGATGTGATGTTGATTCTGTAATATCATTTGCTTTGAGTGTTTTTCTTTTGCGTTTATCTGAGAAGCAAATGAGCTATGAATGAGGTGCTGGCTTGACTCCCTAGTGATTCCAATATGAGAGAATGATGCCACTTAGCACACACTGTGTGCCTACTAGGTGCCTTGTTCTTCCTTGCTTAATGTTCATAATGACCCCAACCAGTTGACTCTGTTATTATTTTAGTTTTACAGATGGGAAAACTGAGGCACAGGGAAGTAAATTCCCTCGGATCACACAATGTGTAAGAGTTAAAGCTGAGATTCAACCCAATTTGGCATCACAGCCCAAATTATCAGGAACAGTGTGCTCACATAACCCTAGTCAAAGGCTCTCAGGCTTATGGCTTTTCTGTTTCCATGGCTGGGCATCCAGCCAGTGACCTGGGGTGTGGACTGGGATGTCCCTCTGTTCTGTGGAATGAGGCAAGAACAGGGGAGGCATGTCCCCACCCTTTCCCTCCAGCTTTATTCTCCTTTCTGGATAGGGGACCAGGATAGACTCTAAAATGGACTGAATATTTGTGCCCAGACCCCAAAACTTATATACTGAAACCATGAACCCAATGGGATGGTATTTAAAAGTGGAGCCTCTGGGAGGTGATTAGGCCATGAGGGTGGAACCCTTGTGAATGGGATTAGTGACTTTTATAAGAAACCAGAGAGCTAGGTAGCATTCTTTCCACCATGTGGGGATACAACAAGAAATCGACAGTCCACAACCCGGAAGAGAGCCCTCCCCAGAGCACAACCGTGCTGGCACTCTGATCTCAGACTTCTGGGCTCCAGAACTGTGAGGAACAATGTCTGCTGTTTATAAACCACCAGTCTATGGCACTTTGTTACAGCAGTCCAAACAGACTAAGACAGGCCCAGACTAAGAAGCACATCCTCCAGAGGGAGTTATCTCAGTGACCTCTTCTGTCTCTCTCTCTCCATGGCTTTGTTTGTAGATCCTAGGATCAGAAGGGACTTGGCTTGTGTTTCTCTACATGTGCTGCATGTTAGCGAGATGCCAGGCATAGTGCTAAGTGTTTTACATGTGTAAGACCCTCTGTCAAGGTCTAGGAGAGTGATCTCAGATACCAAAGTAGGTTCCAGACCAAGCCTACACTGCAGGGAGGGAGTGGAGAGCCAGTGAGTGGCACTGAGAACCTGTCCCTCAGCAAAAGATCAGGGGCTGGAGAGAACTTGGGAAGGTTTTCGGAGAAAGCTGTTTGTGTGCTGTGAGTCCCAGCCCCCTGGAAGGACGGGCAGGGTGCCTACTTCTCACCTCATTCCAAGGGAGTGTGGGCTCTGTGGGTCCTTGGAGCCTGACATGTGCCCCCCTGATGCTTGAGGACCCAGGAGACTGGTGTCTATTCCAGCCTGGAAAATAAAAAATGTGAGCAGTGGGCTGGCTGGTGGCTCAGGCTGCAGAGCAAGAAGAGCAGCTGCTTTCTTCTAATTCTAGGGAAAAATAAGATCCAAGTGGTGCCAATGGGCCCGCTATGGGCCTCTGGAGAGGAGACTACCATGAGTTCAACCTAGGACCTGTCCAAGTGGGCAAGTGGACAGCAGCAGAGAGAAGCTGGGGCACTGTCAGGAAGGACCAGTCCACCCGCCAGAGGAAATCATTCACCCTCACCAGGAGACTTGCAGGGAACAGATTCCCAAGACACAGGGTCTCCAATGAACCAGAAAGGACTCCCCTTTCCCCTCCATAGAGTCCTCCAAGGCTGAAGAGCCCACAGCCTATCTCAGATGGCATCTACATCAGGCCTGACCCCCCGCCCACACCCCTCATCCCTGGCCTCTTATCTTTCCCCTTCCACTCTCTCCTGCAGGGGTCAGGAGCCCCAGGTGGGAAGAAGGGTAGAAGGAGTAGAAGAGCAAAGCCAGAAAGACAGAAACCAGCCACACCCCGTCCCCAGTGGTGGACTCCTGTCTGCAGCAGCCCAACCTGCCACTACTCCTTGCCCAATTGGAATTGAGGGTGCTCATTTGCTTTACAAAAGGACTTTTCTTTTAACCCAAAGGATTCACCTTTGAAGAAGCATCAGCTTTCCTTTAAAGACAGACCTTTTCCAGAACATTTTCAATTATTTGGATGGTTAAGGTTTTGCATATCTCTGTCTTATCACCCCACTTGAAGAATGAGCTTTTGTGAGCAGATACAGTGCCTTATTCTCCTTCCTCCCCTCCACAGGACCTGATCACCAGAGGCACTTAAAGATCTGATGACTAATACACACTTTTCGGGGACACGTTGATTGTATAAAGTGAGGTACAGCCCTAAGCAAGATCAACCCACTGCATTTCCAGATTGCTCCAGCTGAACAAATACACAAACCATCCTCACCCTTTTTTTGCTCTCTGCATTTTCAAGCAGTAGGTGGTAGTAATAAAAACACCACCTTGAATTGGGACAGCACTTTACAGTTTCAAAGCAACTTTCATAACCCAAAGTCACTCTCCACCCCACGCTCATCCCCAAGCCAGGCCCATCCATTTCCACCCACACCCCTGCTTCTCCTGATGGCCAGCCCCGTGCCAGCTGCTGCCAGATGGGGCCACGTGCCCTCCCTCCAGCAAGTCCATGTGTGATGTGGAGAGTTTCCTCATAAAGAGTCAGCTGGGCAGAAATGTGGGCAGAGACCAGAGGGCAGCTTGTTCAGGTTCTGTTTATTATGTTCTCACAGCCTTGTTTATAGTAAAGGTGAAAGACATGATTCCACTTTACATGGTAATGAAACAACTCAATGAGGACACCATCAGCCAAGCGGTTTATATGGCAGATGAGCTGCTACAAATCTGTTGTGTGCTCGCCGCGTGACTCAGCTAATGCTACCGGGGTTGGAGCGCACACCCAGCCCAGCCACCTTTTCCATACCTGGCAGAGGGAAGGGAGCGGAAGGACCAAAAGGGAGTAAGAACCAGGAAAGGAACAGTTTATTAAAAGGACCCAGAGCCCAACCTAGGAAGGCCAGTGGCCCCATCCTGAGATCTCCCGTCTTGGTCCACAGCATCTTGTGGAGTCCTGAGAGGCCGCGGGAACAGGAAGGCATCTCTGCTCTTGGCTTCTTCCTCCACCATCTCATGCCGAGTGGCACGTTGGAACAGGCTCTCAGTGCCAGGGAGGCTTTGCCACCTCTCTTGCTTCTAACCCAGAGGGATGCAGATTTAAAGAGGCCTGACACTTGGCAGGGTGGCCTGGGGTGGAAAACCGTGATGCCTCTGCCTTCCGTGGAACTGGGCACAGACAGGGTCAGGAGAACTCTGGACACTCTTGTTGCTGGGAGACCATCCTGCCTCTGCATTTTCTACTCATCCCTTCTCCTCTGGTCCATGGAGAAGCAGACACCATGTTAGCGGCTGGTCTCTCCCACCCGCTCCTTCCTCTTCAGTCTTCCCCATTCTACCCTCCCCAGCTTTCAGCACAGTTAAGTTCACAGCTTGCCCTCACAGCAGAGCCAGCTGAGCTGCCCAGCTCAAGCGCCCAGGGCCTGCACCCAGAGGCTGGGCCCACAGCCTGCGCAGAACGCTCTTTCACAGCTTTGGTTTATTCAGAGCAGCAGTTCTGGGGAGAGCACCGGAGATTAAAATCAACTAGGACCTTCCCAGCTGCCCACCCAACCTGGGACCAAAGAGGGAATGGTGAGGGCTTGAAAAGGCCTCACAGATCTTGATATCCCCAGGATGTGACACTCTCCATTGATAAATTTGGAAGTTGTGTTACTACTATTATTATTACCACGACGCTCTTCACTCACCACGTGAGTGGGGGTTCCAACTACCTTGTCGTGTGGCCTTGGGTACAGAGACACACCCTAATGCAAAAATGGCCAAACACAAGGGCGCAGGAAAACAGACAGGGGAAACAGCCTAGGAGACAAGCTTGGAGGAGACAGGACTCGGAAAGCACGGCAGAGCGTCTTTCAATCAAGGATCCCTTCAGCTACCACCTTCGGCATGGCCGCTGCCCAGCAATGCACACAGCTTGGGCCAAATCACCTTTATCTCAAAAGAGCAAGTCAGACCCTGAGGGCATCAAGGCAGCATCCCGAGTCAGGTTCCAGGACCGGCCAGGTTCCTCAGTATCTACGTGCTTGCATCTGGAAATGCGCCAGCCCCCTTGGTCCACACAGCTGTGTTCCCCCCTTTCCCCTCCCCCACACCGCGTTCCTCCTCACTCCTTAGACCAATGCTTCCTAAGTTCAGCTGCACATTGGAGTCACCTGTGGAGCTTTAAAGTGACTGATGCCTGGGTCTCTACCAAAAGCTTCTGATTTGGCTGTTCTGGGGTGGGACCTGGACATCTGGGTTTTAAAAACTCCCTAGGTGATTCTAAGGAGCAGCCAAGGTCATGAGCCACTGTCTAAGACCATCCTTTTTCCAAATCCACAGGCCACTAGCCACCTAGGAACTTATTAAATATATTGATTTCTGGGCCCCATCTCAGGTCTATCAGATCAGCATCTCTGGGTGTGCACCTGGGAATTAGCACTTGTCACAGGCTTTCCAGGTGATTCCTGTGCGTGCTCAAGTTTAATGAGAAGGACTGCCTCAGAGGATTCTTCCTCACCCCAGAGGTGCCCAAGGCCATGAATGGTTGATACTGACAGTATTCTATTTAGTTTGCCAAGGGCAATGATGAATCTCACACCAGCCCCCAAACAAGTTAGCCCTCCAGTGGGGCAAGGTCACTCAGGGATGGAGAGCAATTCTGGAAGTCACAGCTCTGCCTGGACTCCTGCCCTGGCTTGCCTGGAGCCTGCACAGGCCCAGGACCCAGCAAGCCTTGAGTCCAGAGAGCAAGTCCACAGCACAGGCCCGGCTTGAGGAGCAAAGGAAGACAGGAAATAAATGGAAGTGATACCCAAGGACATGAGCTTGTGGAAGAGGCAATGGGAGGGAGGGCAGGACTGGGAAACATGGAAGCTCAGGGATGAGGTATGCTTGGATATTGCTCTAGATGTTGTAAACATTTCTCTTTGTTTTATCACAGACCAAAATCTGGGTTGGCACAACCAGAGTGCCTAAAACTAGGCATCAGAGTCAAGAGCTCTGCGCCTCTTGTGGGAAGCAGGGCATACAGGGTATGAGGAAAGCTCCACCCCATGGGAAGGTCATGTCTGCCATGTACTAGTCTAATGCTCACAATTGTCACACACACACAAACACACAGAGACGCTCCACAGGAGTACCATAAATTTAGCTATCACGTTCCTCTATACACGGACACACGCCCACATACCCTTGCTTAGCTGCAAAATTCAGGATCCCCAAGCTGGGGTCTTTCACACCTCCCCATTGTGGGAGGAAGTCACCAGGGAGCCGTGATACCATCACCTGCAGCCTTTGTTTCCTCAATAGTTGGCAAGAACTCTAGGTCCCTCTATGAGGCTATAGCACGACACTCTCGTTCAGGCTTTTCTCCTTGGGATAGTGGAAGTGGTGAAAAAGGCCCCTTTTAGAATGTTTCACATTTCTATAACTCTGTGCAATTCCAATTTATATGCACCTCATATTCGACAGTAGAGTTGGCAGCAGATGCACATTTCATATGTAAACAATGTTTAAAATACCCTGTTAGAGAATTTAATCATTAAATTAATTCTGGCAGCTTTATCTAAAAAAGAATGATTTGTTTTTTTAACCACGGTTGGGAGGATACTACCTGATCTAACTAGGATCACCCATTTGAGGCTTTGGAGTTCTCGAACACGAAATTCCACAGGTCTCTTCGGTGTGAGACCGAAGAGGGCTAGGAGACGTGTGTTCTTCTCTCCCCTTGAGGTTCACACAGTCACACCCACCCTCACTCACAGATAACAATGTGCCGTGGCAGTGCAGTGGGCCCTAGCACTAGTGGGACTCAAGGGCCTTCTTGGCCTGGTCTAGCTATAGCTAAAAAAGGAAGAGATTCTCAAAGTTAACGGAGAGGAACACAAGCACTGGAACACCACCAGCATAACCTTAAAAGGCCCCTCACCCCTTAAAACGAGAATGGTTCAGCTCAGTTTGCAATCGCCTGCACAGAGCTTATGCTTAATCATGTGCTGTTCCACTTAGTCAAGCTGAAAGTTTTGTAGATCTGCAGTGAATCCAAATCCATTGGTCGTGAATTATTCCAACAGTAACTCCACTCTGTTAGCCTCTCCACCTGGAAACCAGCCTCTTGCATGCCCCACTTTCACTTTCTGGTCTCTCTGCTAAAGGTTCATCTCCTTGGCACTACTCTTGTGCCAAAGTCAGCTTTTTCCTGGGTAGCTAGAGTAGGTTCCAGGCTGCTCACTCATCCTCCAAGGAAGAGTTGCCTGACACACTTCCAAGAGCAGCTGTAGGATACCATGAAAGCATTTTAGGAAGGTTCTCCACATCCAGATGCTCACAGTGATCTTCTTAGCCACACCTCCTATTTCATGCTCAATTCCAAAAGGTCAAAGATCAAGAAAGAAGCTGCTTCATGGTATCCAAGAGAGAGATCTTTCTAAGTAAGCATGTTCCCAGGAAGTATGCTGGAAAGAGTTTCAGCCTAAATTCCCGTTCTCCCCCATCATAATTACATGACCGGCATGGAAGGGGGGAGGTGGAGATACAGGGAAAGTACTAGGCACCGTGGGAGCACTCCATGCTACAGGAATTCACCTCCCTTTGCCAAGTTGTCATCCTAAGAGATCAGTGATGTATGATGCTGCAGAGAGGTGAGGGCAGAGAAGACACAGAGCAACAGACAGGTTATATGGTACCCCTTTGAATAGAAGTCTACTGGTGCTACATTCCCTCGTCTCCTGACTTCTGGAAAAGTTCTTCGTAGAATTGAGGAAGATTTGTAAGCTGTATCTTTCTTCATGGCAATTCCACTTCAGAAGTCATGAAGGACATGTCCCAAGACTCTTTCTGGAAATGTAAGGGTAGGGTAGTCTTGTGAATTTCCTAGGCCAAGATGGAAAGTAATCACAGTTTTTCACACTGGTCCAATGGAAATGGAAGAAACAAACAACTCCATGGATTTCACTCCTTCTCCAAGAGGTCACCTGTCAATGACAGCACTAGAAACTTGGAATTCCACAGAAACCTCTCTCCTAAGCTGTGAGGTCCCAGTGAGCAGAGCTGGCCACTACAAATCACAGAGTGGAGCCCAAGTCTTTCAGCTACTCCTCCCAGGGATTTACAACAAGTGGAGTCAGGAATCCTAACTGAGGAGGGTGTGGAGGTGGTAGGAATTGCATTTGCATTATTTACAGATTAGCCTAGCACAGCAAATCTGCCCTCTCAGCAGAGGTGACCCAAGGCATTATGAAGGGCAAGTTGCTGACCCAGAAAAGGGTGACAGCGGCAAGGCGCTACCACTAACCAAAACACAAACATGGGTAAATGGAATAGAGTCCAAGCTCCAGCAGCTGGGTCATACTTTGGAATGGCCCTTCATTCCCTCCTCACCCCCAGCCTCTCACCCCCAATGCCACCACTTTTGAACACCTATGACATTTCACATTAGAATATGATCTTGGCAGCAAGAGGAGGGGAAAGCCGGTGATTTCCGGGAGTCCACTTCTGAGGTCTAACTGAGCCTCCTCTGGCTTTGGGACAGCAGATCTAAGTACATTTTGGACCTCAGGAACCTGGGGTAAGAGTCTTTCTCCATGAGGCTGTGTACTTTTCCTTGGGCTTGGTCAAAGCAAGTCAGGGACGGCTCCTGCATGTTCTTCCTCGTGGCTTCTCGGGTCTGGAAGTCAATGTTTACCTAGAGATACAAACAGAGAGCAAGGTCACAGGCCCTCAACGGCCAAGGTTTCTGGCAGCTGGCCCTAACTATGCAATAATTATTAATGACAGCATCTACATGTTTAAGGCGATTTTGGCTTTTCAAATTGCTTCCATGGAGGTCATCCCTTTTGATCACAGCAAGAATCCTGCGGGGTCTGCAAACCAGATATTCTCAGTCCCAATTTATAGACAACAGTACTGAAAATAAGAGACTACAAAGCTTGTTTAAAGTAGTATGGAAAGTTAGCAACAGAGCCAAGGCAAAATCCCAAATTACTTGAATCCCTAATCCAGGGACCTTCACCCTGGCAGGCAAAGGGATAGATCCAAGCCAGTTGTTAATGCAAGTCCCCTGAAGTAAGCTTTTTCTCCTGTCTTTTCTTGTCTACTAAGGAAACAAATGCCTTGTGGAGGGAGGCCCTGGTTAGAATGTACATCTCTGTTCCAACCAGCATTATAAAGGGCCTGTAGCATCCTAGACAACTGGTAAAGACTTCTTGTATCCCAAGTCAAAGCATAGTTGAAGGAATCTAAAAATGCACTGCACCTAAACTGGTAGCAAACATTTTTCTTCATGTAAACCCTCCCCTCCCAAGTAAAATTCTGTATTATAACTCAGAACAGCAATAAAATAGAAATTCATCCTATTACTATAAATCATTATAATTAAATAATATAAATAATTATAATTACTCATTAATGAGCAGTGGCAAATACTGAACAGGTGCTTCATCTCTCATCCTCTGAAAGGTAGGTACCCTTTTACATTGGGGAAATTGAGACCCAGAGAGGTTTAGTAACTTGACCAAGAGCTCCTAGCTAGTAAGTGGTGGAGCTAAAATTGAAACAAGATTTCAAAGCAGATCCACATTTCATTAAGCTATGCTGCCTTCCACCAGGAAAACGAACATAGACTCGGTAGCATTTATTCTTGCAGAATCTCTGTAGCAGCACAGTTCCTGCTAGCGCGTGCTTAACTGACAGACAACTAAAACACTCCTAATGGAGCTCCTCTGATGGAAGCCCTGGGTTTCTGTTTCTTAAAAATGATCCTTTTTTTTTTTTTTTTTTTTCCATCAAGGGCCACCAGAGCGATGAGGTTCAGTTTTGTATAAGAAAGTCCTCATCAAGCCTGGCTCAGATCCTCTCTGAGAGAGAAATGCAGGCCAGAAGCCATGGACAGACAGGATGGTCGCTGCTGCCAACACACCTCCCGTGGAGCCTGCACATCCACAAACTCCTCAAAGATCCTATGGGCCTTAGAGACCAGTTTTGCTGTTGACCTGGTCTTCTTGAACTCCTCACAGGCCAACCAGAACTCCAGGTTCTCCTCACTGAACTCCGTCTTCAAGAAGGCACGGAATGCAGCCACCCCATCTGTGGATGTGGGAGGAAGAAAAGAAGAGAGATAGGAAGCAGCTTAAGTTTAAGAACTGTAGAAGAAAGAAAGGAAGTAATAGTGTGAAGGTTCCCCTAATTGTCCAAGCTCACTGCTCCTCCACACCCTCTTGAAGACCCCATTCTCATCTGGGTGCAGTGGTTCACGTCTGTAATCCCAGCGCTTTGGGAGGCCGAGGCAGGTGGATCACCTGAGGTCAGGAGTTTGAGACCAGCCTGGCCAACATGGCGAAACCCCATCTCTACTAAAAATACAAAAAAAATTAGCTGGGCATGGTGGCACATTTCTGTAATTCCAGCTACTTGGCAGAGAGGCAGGAGAATCACTTAAACTTGGGAGGCAGAGGTTGCAGTGAGCTGAGATCATGCCACTGCACTCCAGCCTGGGCGACAGAGTGAGACTCCATCTCAAAAAAAAAAAAAAGACTTCATTATCCTAGACACACGAGTGTCCTCAGAGGCAAGTCATGCTTCTTATTCAAGTCATGGGGCCAGGCACGGTGTCTCACACCTGTAATCCCAGCACCTGGGAAGGCAAAAGCAGGTGGACCATCTGAGGTCAGGAGTTCGAGACCAGCCTGGCCAACATGATACAACCTCATCTCTACTAAATACAAAATATTAGTTGGGTGTGGTGGTGCATGCTTATAATTCCAGCTACTTGGGAGGCTGAGGTGGGAGAATCGCTTGAACGCAGGAGTCAGAGGTTGCAGTGAGCCGAGATCACACTATTACACTCCAGCCTGGGCGACAAGAGCAAAAATATGTCTCATTAAAAATAATAATAATAAAAATAAAATAAAATAAAATAAAGAGTCATAATGATATTACAAAGCCACATTTAGGAAGGTGTAGTAATATGTTTGGGGCACAGGTGTCTGTTCCCTAGGTCTATTGGTGAGCTATGTTGCTATTTAATAATTAGGTCAAATTATTTGTTCTCTAACCTAATCCAAGTCAACCATCCTGAGGAAACACAAAACTTGTTACAAGATGAGCTAGAGGGAATGTGAATGTCTCATTCTTTGCTACTACCAAAAAAATCTGAAAGTAAACTACCTACTGAAATGTAGTCAGCAGTGTCATTCTGTTACCTGGATGGGGTTGCAAGCCTCTTTTTAAAAAAACATTTGAGGTGCTGTATTTTGACGTTTTTCTTCCATATATACTTTATTTTAAAAGACATTGCCTATCAAATTATGTTTTAGTTAAGATTGATCATAATTTTTCTGCCAAGTGATTTAACAAATTAATATGCCTTTTCATTTTTGTTAATCAATATCATACATATTGTCAAGCAGTGCTTCCAACCAACACAAGATGAGCAGGGTTACCATGTCGAGTTAGAAAGGGAAATCACATTTATTGATAGCTTATGCATCCAGTTAATGTTTTTATTTAAAAATATTTTTTATAAGTTATTTCAACCTCAACACACTCCCCTCTAATCAAATAACAGCTATAGTTTTCTATAAACTGTCCTCAGGCGAAGGGCACATACAACCTAGAATAAAGAAGTGTTCTGCTGGTTATAAAAGATGCTGGCAATAATCTTTTATTTCTTTTCTAAAATTTCCTAGAAGAACAAAATGTTAACAACTCTTAATCCTAGATGACAGGATGACCTGGGCCTCTGACGTCCACCACTATCCACCAGGACTGTGCACTGGCCAGGGTCATTCGATGGATTGCTGGTGCTAGGCTGTTGATACATTCAAATGCTTACTTTTACTTTCTTGAAATGTTTTCATTTCTCTGAATAAAAAAGTCATTGTATATCTTTGTCTTTCAAAATAGATATTTTAATGTCTATACTAGAACAGTATCATAAAAGCCAAGACCTTTACTTGCAAGAGCCAGGAACTTAAGAGAAAGGTTTTTGGGTGGCTCCCAACACTGAGCTTTAAGTCACAAGGAGATTTAAGTTTGGAAGCCTGAGCTTAAACTCATTTTGAAAAGTAGGAATGGTCGGGCACAGTTGCTCACACCTGTAGTCTCAACATTTGGGAGGCTGAGGTGAACAGCCTGCTTGAGCCCAGGAGTTTGAGACCAGCCTGGGCAACATGGCAAAACCCTATCTCTCCAAAAATACAAAAATTAGCCAGGTGTGGTGGCATGTGCCCAGCTATTCGGGAAGTTGAGGTGGGAGGATCACCTGAACCCCAGAGATTGAGATTTTAGCGAGCTGTGATCACACCACTGCACTCCAGCCCAGGTGACAGAGTGATACCCTATCTTTAAAAAAAGAAAAAGAAAAGAAAGATGACCATGTAATTTACTATCCAAACCAGGTCATTTTGAGAGTGAAGCCTGCATTACTGTTAATTACATGCAGACAATAGTTATAAACCATGACCACCACAGGCAAAACCCGAACACATGATCACCTTAACTCTAAACCATAAAGTATAGAGAAAGTAGAATATAATGTAAAGTTACTTCCTGTCAGGCAGGTGGAAAATAAAATTGTTCCGTACTGAAAGAGAAGAGGAGAGTAACGTAGTTTAGACTCATATGAGAGGTCTGCTCAGGGCACCTCCTGCTCCCATTACTACACTGGATTCAAAACTCTGGAAGAAGGGATTAGAAACCTGAGATAAACTGAAAATCAAAATGAAACAATGACACAGCAATGTTTAGGCAGAGATGGACTGAGAATCATTCATTCAATTCAGTAATGTCTTTTAAAGCATCTACTAATGTAACAAAGCACAGATGCTTCTCAACTTATGATGGGGGTATGTCCTGAAAAATCCATCACAGATTGAAAATACCAAGAGTCAAAAATGCACTTAATAAACCTAACCTACTGAACATCACAGCTCAGCTGAGCCTACCCTAAATGTGCTCAGAACACTTTTGGTACAGTATTTAGTAAATTACATGAGCTATTCAGCACTTTATTATAAAACAGACATTGTGTTAGATTATTTGGCCCAGCATTGCAAGAGAGTATCACATCACATATTGCTAGCCTGGGAAAGGATCCAAATGCAAAATTTGAAGTATGGTTTCCACTGAATATGTATCACTTTCACACCATCATAAAGCTGAAAAATCGTAAGTCGAACCATAGTAAGTCGGGGACCATTGGTACTGTAAGAGAACAAAATCTTAAAATCCTTGCCCATGAAATCTCTCAAGGAAACTCTCTTTGTCACCCCTCCCTCACTCTGTCCCCTCCATGGAGAAGATCCAGAAGTCTCCACAGGCTCTAGAGGGAACTTGGATTAGAGAACCAGCCTCCCTGCCAGGAGATCCCCACTGCTTGCAGGAGGGGCCCCTGAGGCAGAGGCTATTGGCAGAGGTCGAAGGGAAAAATAGCTGGAGCTGTAGAAGCCTCAGTGCTCTTGGAGGAGGTTTTCTCCTTGCAGAAGACCCAGTGCCCTTGAGAACTCAGTGAAGGGCTGGTTTAGCAAGGGGGGACTCTGAGCAGTGACCAGTCCACGATTTCACTATCAATGGACACAGTGAGGACCCGAGGGACCGTAGGCCAGAGGTTCCCTCTCCGCCTCCATCTTAACACACTTTCCACTGTATTCAGTGAATGAGGAGGGGAATGAGGGAGCCCTAAAAGACTGTGTGTTTATCTAAAAGAGTAACTGGAAAGTGACTTGGAAAAGCAACTCAGAAGAGCCTGTGGTTGGTTTTAAACCAGAAGAGACTACATTCTTCGAATGGGAGAGTTTAAGGTTGTTTGTGTCAGATTTTAATTTCTAACCGAACAGAAACAGGTGCTTATGAGCAAGGTGAATGTAGTTACAGACAAGGAAAGAATATTACCTTTCTGCCTTCTTTCATGGTACTGGTAAAGATAGCCTTGCTAAGGAAACTGTCTGGCCCTGTGCTAGATGAGGTACAGGCATCACCTCCTTAAATCCAGGTTTCAACTCTGTTGGGTCTTTGTGTGGATGAGTAGAGATAACTTCTGCAAAGTGCTCTCAGGAGGCTTGCTTTACATCTCATCTTACAGATGAGGAAACCGATGCTAAGAAAAGGGACTTGCCCAGTTTTAACAGGTAACAATATGTAGCATTGAAAACTTCATATAAGGTACACTCACTTTCAATCCAACATAGCAATAATGAATGAATCTTCATTCATTCATTCACTTGTTATGTGACTCAGGCTACGTTATGCGCTAAAAGCAGATATAATCGTGGCTTCACAGAATTTGCCATCAAGGGCAAGCTTGAGCCAAGAAAACATAATTATGATGATTATGCTGTAGTGTGATAAGTTACAGGATAGAGAAAGCAGAGGGGTCACGAAGGACCCAGAAGGGGTGCCTTTGCCAGCCCTGAGGAGCGAAGGGAAGACCTGTGGGAGGAAGAGGCTTCTAAGCTGACATGGGAAGTAGAGGAGAGGGAAGCTAAGCAAGGGAAGGAAGGAGAGGAAGGAGAAGAGAATTTCAGCGAGAGGGAACCACAGGAATGAAGGCCTAGAATTAAGAAAGTTTACTTGGGTAACTGGAAGTAGTTCACTAAGACTAGCATTTAATAATAATACAGCTGAAAATGACCAGGCCTGCTTATAGGATAGCATACACCAAGAGGCCTGTGAAAGAGCCAGAGAAACAGAAGAATTTTGCAGGACTACAAAAGGCCAGGAAGAGAACATTTCAAGAAGGAAGTGGTCACTGTGTCTAGTGCTGCCCAGAGGTCAAGCTAGATACAGTCTGAGAAACAGTCACTAGATTCAGCAAGCGTTGGCAGGAAGAGTTTTCATGGTGTAATGGGGCACTAGCTGTCCCATGGTATGTACGGTGGTGAATGAGACTGAAGGAAGTGGAAACAGTCATTCAGATGACGCTTGCAACAAATTTCGTAGATAAAAAGGTAGAGAAATAAGACAGCATAGCTGGAAGGAAACATGAGGTCAGGAAAGAGATTTTTGTTTTTTTTTAAGATAGACTTGGGTAGGGTCGGGCGCAGTGGCTCACACCTGTAATCCCAGCACTTTGGGAGGCTGAGGAGAGT